TAGTGTGCAGCCTCATCATCAGCTAGTCGACCAGACTCATCCCACATCACGCGCAGCGAAGATTGCATCTTTGCATGTGTCAATTTTCCCTAGGCTACAGTATCTATAATAATTTTTTTTTAAAGCCTGTGGTATATATATCCTTGTAGGTTATATGGTTTCAGTCTTAACGTACTTTCTTTCGTATATCCCCATAATTTTGTTATTTCGTCCGTCTCCTGTACACGTATATCATCTGTGTAGGCCTACGCTCGGTGAGCGTGAATCAGCTAATTCATTTTGCATTTGTTGCTAGGTTACGTACTTCGTTGTTAGTATTGCTAGGCCTAGGCTCGCTATAGTTATGGCGCCGGGTAAAAATTCTAAGAAATCCTCATCTCCTCCCCCTGACCTTAATCAGGGTAGTAGTAATGCACAACCAGCTGGTGCTGGTAATAATAGTTACCTATCGCCGTTAAAAGTTGAATTACCACCATTCTTTGTTGAGAATGGAACTGAGGCTTTCAGTGTTTGGTGCCGTAGACTTGAGGTGGCTTTGGATGCATTGCCAATGGCTACTCCCATTGATATGGTTAAACTATTGCCATCTAGACTTTCCGGTGCAGCTTTTAACTACTGGGATAATTTGGCCCCTGCTATTAAAAATAACTATCCGGAGGCAAAGGCTTGCTTGACCAAGGTATTTCGTGCAGACACATAAATTAAGTGCTTTCAAAAGCATCATGAATGCTAGGCCGCGTCTACCCAAAGAACCTTTGCAGGTGTATGCAGCTGATTTACACCGTTTAGTTAGAGAAGCATTTCCCGAGTATGGGGATGTAGCTCAAGAAGGTGAAACTTTTCGGAGATTTCTTGCAGGCATACAACCAGCCTTGCAGCTGAAATGTCATGAACATGGTGCAACAACGTGTCAACCTTTGAATGAGGAAGCTGTATCACCCTTCCGTGTTACTAGAACTGGCAGAAAAGTGAAGCCACCTTCCAGATTCCTGGAATAACTGCGAATGTATGACTATATGTCAGCACCACTTACACATGTAGTGTATTACATGAATTTACAGTTACAAAAAAAACAAAAAAAAACAAAAAACAAAAAACAAAAAACAAAACAGAAAAAAAACCAGAACGAACAAACACAGAACAGAAACAGAGGGACAACCAGAAACAACAGTACCACAACAACAAAGCGAAAGCATGCCCAGGGGAGCGTACCGGTCGCGCGCGTAATTTTTTTACGCATGTGGTTATAGAAGTTAGGATTTGTTTTTTTTCCAGGTTTTAGTGTTAGTGGCATGAGGGTCTTTTCTTTTTGTTTATGGGGAATTGAAACCGTCCATGCGCGCGCGTAATTTTTTTTTACGCAGATGTTATAACAGTTAGGATTTTGTTTTTCTTTTGGTTCTAGTTTAGCTGGTGTTTGGGCCATTCCTTGCTTGCGCGGCTTGTGCGATTGTTGAATTGATTCTGATAAACTTAATAATTTTCACCGTTTCTGATACTACTACAAGTTCCATGGATTATTGTTTGCAGATAATTTTTTTTAAATTTATTTGGAGGGGATTATTGTTTTCTTATTTTTCTTCTTCATATATGGTACCATACGCAATTC